AGGGAGGGAGGGAGGGAGGACAGAAACAGGGTTGGTCAGGACCAAGCAGGAGGGTTTTGTAAGGAGACAGAGAGGAGGAGGGTAGACACCCCTATAGGTTCACTTGAAGGGGATATCAAGGCCAGCAGACACAAAGTAAATAGCGGAAGAATGACACATGGCTAAGACCACAGCTGGGGGCCACTGCCCCAGGCCTTGAACTCAAGATTCTCATGCCTCCTCTTCCTGAGCACTGGAATTCCAGGTGTGAGCCACTGTTCTGTTTTGTTTCAATCAGGAAGAATAATAATTCCTCTGTGAACCCACAGTCCCTTGGTCACCAGCAAGTGTAAACAGAGTGGTTTGTAGAGAATGACCATTTGTGACAGCATTGTGGTCAGCCAAGCAGTTTGAGGTCTTGTAACAATTACTGCCCGGGCCAAGCAGCAGCAGCTGCGGTCAGCAAGTCCCCAGGACACAGCCTCCCACCCTGGTCAGCCCCTTGGAGGCACATGTCATAAAGAGCTAGGGCAGAAGGGAGCCCTCCTGTCATTCCTAGGAACACTGTACCATGCTAGTATGCCTTAGGGGAGGAAACCTACCCATCAAGGATCCCATCACCGTCCCAGAGCCCCTGGAGGGATGACCGAAGGGCCTCAGAACAGAGCCAAGCTCCAAGCCAGAGCCATGGGTACAGAAAGGCTGTATGTGGGTCTGTCAGATGGACAAGCCATTCTTGCACAAGGAGACACCACGAATCTAGAGGGAAGCAGGCTGGTAGAAGGAAAGGGGTACCATCCAGGGTGGCAGACTGGGCTGCAGTTGGAATTTTGTAAAAATACATCACTCTCTGGCCAAGCAGTAGGCCATAAATGAAGAGCTGAGCCTTCCAGAGCTGCAGGCTGCCCCATTAGATGATTTGTTTGTTTATGGTGCTGGGGACAGAACCCAGAGCCTTGAACCTTTCAGGCAAGTACTCTACCACACCACATCTTAACAACACACAGGAACGCCAAGCTCTCTGTGCCAGCCACCCTGCAGCCACCAGATCACACTCAAGTGGGAGGATGCTGCAGCTAGGAGTGCCGGCTACTCTTACCTGCCCCAGTGCACAGCCAAGTTCTGCCCGATGGACACCAATAGGCTGGCGGGCCCATGCTCCCACAGGCACTCCTGTGCCCATGCTGCCGCAGACCTCTCCAGCTCCTCATCCCAAGTCTGCAGGGGAGAGAGACGGCACAGACATCAGGAGGGCAGGGCAGAAACCCCAATCCCAGGGCTGTCAGAGCTCTCGTTGGGCCTCTAACAGATGCCTGTGAGCCCAGCTTCTCTCAGCCTCAGTGAGTGTGAAACTGGGGGGGGGGAGGAGATGCCCAAAGACAGCAATCATAAAGGGCAGGTGAGAGCCCTGATCACCCTTGGCCATCCTCAGGAGCTGAGAGTCCACCCACATCCTCACTGCTATCCCTGGATGCATCCAAGTCTCTCCTTGCCTTCCTGCCACAGTCTTGGAGAGTGCCCATTTACTTCATTTGACAGAAAAGAGAGCCGAGGCTGTGAGAAGTCAGGCCATTGGGCCACAGTCACACATACACACTCACAAACACACACAGGTAGTCTAGAGACAGGATCTGGCTGTAGGTCTGTGAGACCCAATGAGTGCAACTGACTATCCAGGAGGAACACCATGACATGTTGGCAAAAAATCAAAAATTCAATACCACACAGCTCCTCAGAGGCACCCTACTTGCTTCCGTTTTAGGCAACCAGATGTGGGAGGTGGTGAGGCTTCACCACCCTCACACCCTTCCCTGCATATGAGTTCACTCTTCCTACTCCTACTTGTGACCACCTCAGCCTCGAGCTTTGGCCACTGCCTTGAGTCCCGCATTGGCCTTTTGAGTTCCATTCACCTGCTACTCTACTCAGCTTCTCACAATGTTACCTCAGCCTCTAGAAGCCTGCTTAGGGGGGGAAGGGGGCTGTTCCTCTGGTCAGCAGCCCCATAAGGACAAGTTCTTCCTCTGTACACGCATACAACATAGGTGCAATAACTCCACAGAAATCCCCAGTTAGCTAAGCCTCAGGCATGCAGAAGGCTGAACGGTAGAGAAGGGAGCCCAGTCTCCCAACACTCTCATGTTTACCATATACCTCTCTGAGCAGCAGGTGTGGGAACAGCCAGCCTCACCATGTATGCCAAGGGCCAGTCCCTTCCAGATCAGCTTCTCTGAGTCTAGTTTCCCATCTGCAGATTGAGGTTAATACTTCCTGTTCTCCCAGGTTCCCACCAGGGTCCCTCAGGTCCCCATGCTCACACCGCCAACCCAGTTCTCCATGGCATCTCTGATGGGATGACACTCCACCCCACCCACCTGCCAAGGGAGTGCTGCTAGGGCATGGTCCCCCCCCCCAACAGGAGCTGCCTCAGCCTTGACAAGGAGGTATGAGGACCTGGCCTCTCTGAGCAATCTCTGGAGGCCTCATCCATGTGTGAGCTGCACCCACCCACCCTGGGCAGTGCCTGGGGAGCAGTGGGACTCAGTGTCTGAAGGTTTAAAAGCTACTGAGGTAGAGGATCTGGGCTAGTGGACAGCAGATGACCCTGTGGGGTGTGACCAGCCTCTCCCCATCCTCATCCCTACTCCAATTCTGGAAAACCAGCCAAGGGGGATGTTTCCACCTTGGAATTCAGGGACAAATGAGCTCTTCATCTGGCTACCCCAACAGCTTGTAGCAAGAGCTCAGGAGGGATGACCTCTCTGGCATCTGTCATCCTTGGCAAAAGCCAGGCATCACACAGAGCAGCTGCAAAAGCACCTGGAACCCAGGGTGTCTTTTTATATTTCTAATCCCCCCCCCAAAAAAAGCACACAGCCACTCCATGGGCTGACATCTTGGAAGAGTGCCCAGCTTTCCCAGGGAAAAAGATGGGGTTCATACTGTGTCCCCCAAAGGTGGCCTTGCTCATGGCCCACATAGCTGGCCACTCATTCCAGATCTTGAGACCATGGAGGACCTGTTAGTACCAGAGAAGTCTCTGAAAGAAAATCAGTGGCTGCTTGCCGGAGGGAGTGGGGCTGTAACTTGGGGGACAAGGACAGAGACAGGGCTGAACAGGGAGAGAAGTCAGGCCTTGATTTCACTGAAGGAAAGAGAGAAATGAGGCATCAGAACAGAAAAGGTGAGGTGGGAGTGTAGCTCAGTGGGTAGAGTGTGACAGCTCAGTGGGTAGAGTGTGGCAGCTCAGTGGGTAGAGTGTGGCAGCT